ATTCGTGACAAGGACGAAGGAAGCTCCCCATCAAGCTCGTTATTGCTCAAATCCAAGTGTGTGAGCTCTTTCAAGCTGCTAAAACTAAGTGGAATTGAACCACTTAACTTATTGCCAGTAAAGTTCAGCTGAACCAAACTGCCCAAATTACCTAAACTTGAAGGGATAATCCCTGAAAGCTGATTATTCCCAAAATACAAGCCCTGAAGCTTCGAGCTGCGACCAAACTCCAGTGGAATGGAACCAATCAACCGATTTCCAGACAAATCCAAGGTTGTTAGATTTCTTAACCTTGAAAGAGACCCTGGAATTTAACCAGAAAGAATGTTATTCTTGAGTAGAAGATCCACAACCACCACAAGGTTACCTAACTCCTCAGGAACTGAACCAGACAACTTATTATAAGACAGATCAAAGACCCCATGATGTTGAACAAAGCTCAAATCTGGTATATTAGCCTCACGAAAGATAATACAAAGAAGGGCTCGAAGGAATTGGCCCAGACAAATTATTGTGAGAAAGAACCAAGCACTGTAATTGAACCCCTCCGGTGTCTGCAATCCTACTTCCACCCGAATGGCTTGTTTGCCATACACATGAAATATGGTGTAAAGAAAAGAGGTTTTCGACCCAACGAACGAAGCGAAGTAAAGTCCCTGGAGAGATATAATTGACCTAACCAAATTTTGCAAGGGTTAGTCAAGCCGTTCCACGATTGGGCTATGTCTGTCCTCAGTACATTAAGGACAGATGGGACCTTCGACCAACTCCGTTCCCTGCACCGGCTCAAGGGTCATAAGGTTTTGTATTCCTTTGACCTAAAAGCCGCTACTGACATGCTACCTAAAAATCTAACTGATAGCATGTTGAAGGGCTTATTCGGGGAGGAAATCGGTTTGGTTTGGTATGATATAATGAATAATACCGCCTTCCGATCCCCGGAGCGCCTGAAGAACCCGACTAAAGCGCGTGTATACCGCTTTACTACTTCTGACTGAACTTCGCTTCGCCAATACTTCTGACTGAACTGCGCCTTCTATGAGGCTCGATGTAATTGACCTCTTCGTCCCTGTCTTTCCTTCCACCCTATGGGTACCGTTCACTACCGGTTTATTCGTTGGTTCGCTCGTTCGGAGGTAAGAGTTTTTAGAGAAGTCCGGTTAGCTACCATTGGTGACGCCTTGGTTTACTATCTCGTGGTCTCTGACCCTAGGGAATAGTAGTCGTCGGTAGCTGAAAGCACTCTGCAATCCACTTGTGGTTCGGACTAGCTGACTTACTTGGTCGGATTAGCTGCACCCTTAGACCGATCGACCATCCCTCGCTGATGAGCGTCTGAGCTTAGGAGCCGAAGATACCAAGGGAAGGTAGACCAAGTATCTGGTGGAGTTCCTTGATCTTTACGCGATATAAGCTAGCTGCCTTTACTTGATAGGGTCGCAACGAAGATTGCTTACTGCTTTTACAGAAGGTGTAGCAGACCGGAGATCCGGCTTCTTAGCTCGTTGGGATTGAGGTTAGGCTATATTTATTTAGTAAAGGGGAAGATAAGCAGTAGAGGCCAAAGACCCGACCCAGAGTGTCTTCGCGTACAGTCTTTGCTTAGGAAGTTAGGGTTGGTGTGGCAAGTTCAAGTCAAAGGCCTTACTCAATTCAATATAAGGGGTTCACCCTATCGCTACTCCTTTCCTGTAATTGATAGATTGGTCATGAGGAATGAGAAACTACGTCTAGCTATCACTTTGAATACACCTCCTGGACCATTCCTTGGAATTCCTACTTTCGGGTAAGATCCCCAGGGGCCTTTCACTTGATAGGGCAACCCAAAGAAGCCGATTCGCCTACAGACGATTCTCCGATCTTGTTCACTTAGGAGCAGAAAGGTCAGCTACTGCTTGCCTTCCTTGCCAGCTCGTTCCTTCCTTGGTATTCCTTAGGGAGTGACTGCGCGCTTCGATTCGCTCTACTACCAATTGATCCATCAAAGCAGAAGAAGAAAGAGCTTAGATACCGATTGAACACACTTCTTGGGACTAGCTGCTTTACTCGTTCGCCTTGTATAAATATGGGGCTCGTACTTCCTGGCTAGTTCGGTTCGCTTCCCCTATTAGTTAAAGCGGTCATTTACACCGGCCATTTGATCAGTAAAGGCCCTCTCCTCTTAGTCTCACCTCCTTCGCTAAAGAAAAGGAAAGAAATTCCCAAAAACCACTCCACTACTATTGCACTTTGGGGACACTCCTAGCTATGATCGAGGAAGAGAGCTCATATGAGGCCAGTTTTCTTGTGCCTAGGTGCCCATCCAGGAGCATGGCGGCGGCGTTAGCCATTCCAGGTCATCTTCTTGCGGCACAGGACGAGTCTTTAGGAGACCTTGCATCGGATTTTCTTGATCGGCTTCCTATGGCAGCTCGTAGTTCGAGCGCAATTCCCTTGGTCGCCCCCTTCCTGCCACCTTCCATGCGGTAAAAAAAAATGGCGTCAGGGGGGGAAGTTGTGGTAGACCAACTACGACTCGGGCAGCCGGAGAGGCTCGATGTAATTGACCTCATCTTTCTATTCTAGGTGCTCCTCCGGGCGAGACGCTTCAGCATTTCGACATCAGTCCTGAGGAAGTCAGGAATTAGTATATACTTCGACTTTCGTCCTGATGACATGCATACTGATATAGTACTCGGCATGGTAACCTTAACGGCCTAGTGTTGGTATCTTTTCTTTTCCGTTCTCTGTCTTTTTTTTGACCGAGCGTAGAAAAAAAGAAATGACGCACTCTGGCTTTCAAGCCTCCGTCTTCTCCCTTACCCTAGCAAATAAAGTCTTTCATGAATGGCATACCTGCTTATCTGCTTCTCACCGCCTGTATCATATCCTTAGGTCGAATCCAGTCCCCGACAGAAGATCTAGCAGCTAATAGACTACACAACCTTTCTTCCTCTCCTTTCAGTCGTCAATTACATCGAACCTTCTT